AGTAACTCCAGTTACAGGAGATGTGAAAGGGTAAGCTTTGTGAGAGTTGTCTTGCATTCTTGCTATGACCGATGGGGACTAAGAGGAGACCAGATGTTGTGCAAAGTGTAGAGGAGAGTCAAGAGGAGAGTTGGGAGGAGAAAAGTCGGAGGAGAGTTGAGAGAAGAGTTGGGAGGAGAAGAGTCGGAAGACCAGACGTGCGCGGGACGAGACCAGAGGCGATGAGGTTTTTTAGCTTTTAGGGTTTTCTTTCTTTAATTTATAAATAGAAAAGTTGGAAAGACATAATTAACCTTAAAAATTTTTAACTTAAACTTTAGATGTGGGGTTAACATGGTAATTGGATCAAAATAATCAAAGAAAATTACATAGCGGCTGCTATGCACGCTATCCGCTATTTGTATTGCGGCCGCTATTAGCGGTGATAGCAGCCGCTATTGAAGAAATGCTACGCTATGAAAATTTGTAATAGCGACTGTAGCTGGCCGCTACGCTATGCTGCTATAGCGGCCGCTATGGCTGCTATTGACAACACTGATGTAAATTAAAGGGTTGAACATAATTCTGGGTAATTCTAGCATTACCCAGAATAACCAGAGAGAGCATCATACATGTTGCAAGACCAATGTCAAAACCAACTACAATAGCAGCTTTATGGAGCAGAGGCCAGCATAAATTAAAGATGATATCCAGAAATTTGAGATAAACCAAAGAATTCATACCAGTGCCCGAGATATTAGAAATGTCATTACAACAGGAAGGTCTTTTGTTCCTAACACATCAGCAACAGAAAGCAATGCCAGTGCTATTCCTTGTCTGCCTATCCAACTAGCATCAACATTGTTCTCCGCAAAACCAGCATCACGGATGTACAAGGAAAACAAGGTAGAAAGAGTTTCCTGCAAATATCCAAAACATTAGAGTACTACACATTGAGAGCAATATGACAAATTAAGTATCAACTAACCTGTATAGTTTCTGGGTTCTCATCCACGGCAGCAGATAAGGCCTCCGCAGCAGCCAAACGTACATTATAATTTATATGTGAAAGCGCCTTGAAAATTCCTGAATAGTCAGTCCCAAAGTCATATCCATAGCGGTCCCATATATCTTCTGCAGCTTCTGCAATTGACTGGAAAACAAAAGGATTGTAAGTGAAAACTCAACTAAAAAGAAGATGCAAAGAAAATAATAATAATAATAATAATAATAATAATAATAATATGCAACAAATGAAAATAACAACAAAAATGAGGCTTGAAAAAAGAAAAAAAAATTAATCAATGGCCGTGTACAAGAAACTAAAAGCTTCTTTCAGAAACTTCCAACCATTCAGTGGCTGCAGGACCAGCTAAATTTACTAGAGAGAACTATAAATGAAATTCACATTTAGTTAAAAAGAATTCGATCAGTCAAAACCTTTTCTGTATCGTGCAAAGCAATCCAAATATTTGTAGCAACTTCAACATTTTGTTCAAGAGCCCGATTAGAAACAGCTGGAATGCACTTTACAGCATTTAAGCAGGCAATTCTAACATGTGTTTCTTTCGCATATATTCCGTACAAGGCCTGCAAAATGAAAATCAAGGATAGTGATGAAATTTTTCTAAAAGATGTTGAAGCAAGAAAGCAAAAATTTATGAACCTACAGATGCAACTTCATTTGGCTGCAGGCCAAGACACAATTCATTCAATGCGGGCCCAATTGATGCTTGATAAGCTGGAATAACACCTAGAGCATGGTAAAGAACCTGCAAACAGAAAGTCAAAGTAGCAAGAACAAATTAGATAAAAAAAAAAAAAAAAGATTAAAAAATGAAACTCAGCTAAAGTGATGCTTTAAACCATAACTGATATCATCCGAACTCTAGGAATGGGCAAAAGAGGATCCAAGTGCAAATAAAGAATTTGAAGAACATTATCATGAAGTCCAGTTTTCCTGGATGCTAACAGAATCCGCTCCATTATCTGATGAGGAAATATGCAACAGTTAAATCAGTTAAATGAAAGGCGTCAGGTAACAGATAAACTCGTGCTAGACAAAGTACGGAAACTAACAGGGAAGACAAAAGTGAAGGAGTCCACAGGAAGAGGTCCAGATTTACAAGACAAAGACAATCCATTTATTATTCTCTCAAAAAGATTCAATGATGGTCTTTCACTAGCTTCTCCATCATCAACAGAAGGAATCAGTTCCAACTCCAGCTGAGCTTCATCGGTCCCAATTAGACGTAAAGCAGTAGCTATATCAAGAGCCCAATTACACAGCGGGTTCACTGTGCATCTAGCTAGCTTCACCAATGTATCAAAAGCAACATCACTTACAATTGCAGACCGTAGCAAAGGATCCACAAACTTAACCTACAAATTGTCATAAAGTCAATTTATATCCAAAAAATTTGCAACCAGAAAAACAGAAAGGAAAGGAAAAATTATTAAAATTCTCATCACAAATACAAATTATTCAGACCAAAAGCTATCTGCATGCAGCAAAACAATCCTTAATGTGTGGGTTAAGGGAATTTAATCCCTAGTAACCAGAAAAATGAATACTAAAAGTAAGCAGCAAGAATATAAATTTCATTGAAAGACCAAGCTGGTAGTCTTCCTGACAAGATGTCGCATTTCTAAAGCTATGTTATCCTGATGCTTCATTCTCAGCTGACTAACTGAATATCCTGTAATCTCTAAGTTATGACTCCATGCACTCAAGAATGAGAAGGGAAAGACTTCCAATCACTCCAGAAAATAGGGCAATTCACAGATGATGCATGGATTTAAATTCACTTTTAAGAACCTGAATGATTAAGCAATTAAAATTTTGCCTCCTTTTACCAAAAGTCAGCAAGTTACAGGCAAGTGCTTGACAGCCCACATAATAGAAAAACAGCTAAATTCAAACAATCTGATCAGTAATTCTCAAGATGCTGCTAATGACACCATGAATAGGAGCACACTCTAAGCTCCAGAGACTAAATGCAAGTTTCGAGAAAATCTTTGATGACAGAGTTTAGAGGAAGGTTTTCCAGACAATAGATTAAAAAAATATTGGACAAAACAACATATATGGTATATCATAAAAATCCTACTAAAGTCGAGATGTTGCATGTAAATTGTGTTCAACTTAGAAAATCTTTGAACCAGGCAAAAAATACTTCTTTTTTAAATAAGCAAAAGGGAAAGTTTAAACACTGGACAAAAAACAGCAACAGAAGGTATTACTATTTAGCAGCCAGAAACTTAGGAGAGCAAAGAGCAAACCAGGGAAGGTAGTTGACTGTGCGCAAATATAGGATTGGCAATTGTCATGTCCCCCAAAGCACTCAGCATAAAAGACAGATTCTTCTGTATTTCGCGAACATTATCACGTATAGATGCCTCTTCTCTGAGCAACAGGTCTCGTGCCTCCTCTTTTGCAGTCTTTCCCTTCTCTGCAAGGATGAAATTTTCAAAATTGAAAATATTTAAGATAAACAGAGAATGTAAAGCTACAAACAGAATGTTAAAAACGTGCCAGCTTTTTTTGTTGGCTTTCCAGTATCCTTTTTCCCAGCACCAGCAGGTTCTCTCTTCACAGAATGGTTAGAATTGACATGATCCTGGAAACAGAGCACAACTGATGTTAGTGACTGCAAAAGGATAATATGAAACGACATAGTAAGTCAAAAAAAGAAAAATGAAAAAAAAAAAAGGGAGAATCCTTAAGAGAGGTGGCAGGGGGGACAATAAACCTTTGCTTGTTTTCCATTCTTAGCACCAATGGATTCTGCTATATAAACCCCTTGCTCAGTGGAAAGGATCCCTTCAGGAGTTCGAAAAATCTGAAACATGAAAGAAGACCATGTTTTTAGCATCCTAAAAGGAACAGAGGAAATAATAGTGAAATGGTAAAATTAAAATAGCTACTGATGAAAAGGTGAGCTATGATTATAAATTTATTAATTGGACGAATTAAAAGGCAACTTAGCAAATCAAAGACCATTAGAACAGAAGCCAATAGAGCAACAGGACATGGAAATTATGGAGTCCATGCCCCTACAAATACTTCACGTTGGGGCTTATAAAAACCAATGCAAGAAAGAAGACAATAAAATCAATTGCCAACATAGTTTACAGGACAAAAAAAAGTGCACGTACTCCAATGGTCAGATTTCAGACAAGTTATAGATAGAGAAGAAGAGTAATGACAATATGTATGATGGCATCTGAATAATATGCTTGCACTAGAAATCTAGATGCCTTAAATCAGGTAACAATAAAAAGCCAAACAGGTAACAACAATTTCAACACAAGATAAGGAATCTGCCCAACCTAGGGCTGCAGTAGGTCAACCAAGTGAACTACCCAAGAATAACTTCCTGAAGAGAACCTTGCTATCTGTTACCACAATCCACTCAACTCCAGTAATTTAAGTTTTTATTAATGTTATGTAGAATCTACAATCTATTATATTTAATATATCAAACATATAATGGGACTTCCCACCACTCACTCAAACTCATTCAAAAAGTTGAGTCCAAATAAGAGCTTCACACATTGAATTTTGGTTGCTTACAATCAAGTTGATTAGCTAGCCTAGCACTAAGTGCAAAAGATTTTCATTCTTTATTTTAAAAGTGAAAAACATGCATACAGAAGGAAAAGAGAGCAGGGATAAAACACAGAAGGCCAAACTACTAATTTGCCTGCTAAAACAGTTATTTATCCACTTGCACCTTCGTGAATTTTGCCCACAATTATGTTTAGCCCAAAAAAATAATAATAATAAACCCAAAAGTGGAGGGGAAAAAATCATGCGTGCATGTGACTGTTAACTTCCATACACTTTGAATAATGTAACTTAACTAATCTGATGTGTACAATTTATTAATATTAAAGTGCTATATTTTTTTAAACTAAACACAGATTATGTGATAACTATATAATTTAGCTCAATTGTGTAATTAAATTAACTTAATAAAACTAAAACTAAAAATGAAAAGATGAAAACACCATTCTTCTTTCTTCCTCCTCTCTTGCACCCCCTCATTGCTCCTCATCCTCCCTCAACCCCTCGCTGCACCAGGAAGCATGGTGCAGATCAGGACCAAAACTATGGTTCATGCCTTACCCTGTCTTCTTTGGCGAACCCAGGTCCAATCTAGCCCCTCTGGCTGGCCAATTGGCAGGCTTAGAACAGCAAGGCTGGGTCCTGATCATTTTTTGCTTAGTCTTCTTTGAGATCTGACACTTTTTTCAGTTTTTGATTCTAAATTTTTGGGTAAAGTTTTGCCATGAGGCTCCTCATCATTTTTTTATCTACATTAGCATCCCCTGAAGAAAGTTTAGCCACAAGCATTTTCCCTTCCATTTTGAAGATTTTACTGGCAGATTTTACTGGGTTCCGATCAAGCTGGTATATTAGAAGTTCACAAAGGTATGGATTGCAGACAAGAAAGAGGTAAAAGAGGCAAATTAGTTGTTTAGTCAACAAAAAAATCTTGCAAAAAGATGCAACAGATGACCATTATGAAAAAATAACAACCCAAGTATCAATATTCAGGACAGCCCTGCAAAAGCGAGTCAATCATTTGAAGATGCAGCAGTTTATAACCAAAATTGCTAATAACAACACTTTGAAAAGTGAAATTAGATTTTAGACAAGCATATGATGTAGACAAGAAACTTGACCTGCATGTCATTTTCTGACAGCATATCATGTGATCGCCAGTCTTGAAGGTTCACAAGGTGCTGTCAGGGGAAGGAAATCTATGTCATTACTCAAAACAAAATAAAAATATGAAACAGTTGCTCTTGACTAAAGTTAATTTGAAATATATGCCCATGCAACAAACCTTTTGAAACTCAGCATAGGTATCTTCTGGGGCTATTGACATCAAAGTTGACAAAGAGTTTATAGCTGCTTTCTGTTCAAGTGGATTACCACACATTAATCCCATTGGTCCTAGCAGACCCTACAAAGAAAAAAAGGTGGTTCAGCAGACTGCACCGTAAGCATGAGCAAGGAATACACAGCTTTAACCATACTATCATGTTGATATGTGAGCAAACATTCAGACATGGAAATCAATGAACAAAGAGAGATACATAAAAGTTAAATAAAAATAATGAACAGAATTGAAATGGAAATTACTTGAGTACTTGACAACATGATATATAAACTTGGACTTCATTCACTCCACATTTAATGACACTACCCAATACATATTCTGTACCCTTTAGCACTTTCCAATAGCCAAATGAATAGTTTCATTACGGCCTCAAAAGATCTCAGTAAGATTTCTCACAAAGCATAGAATTCACTCACAAACGTCTCATACCTAAGTTAACTTTCTTGAGGGAATAAGCCACACATCATTTGAGAGAACAAAAATTCATGTCTAGAATACTTCCCACGTTCATATCATATCAGACAACAGCTCATCCACAGACTAGTGGAAATAAATTTCATTTACATATTACTTGGATAAAAATATACTGAGATCATTAATTCTAAATGCCCCCAATTTTTTACATATTTCATGAACTAAAAAAAAATGTCAAAAGAAACCTGCAATTTCTGTCTAAGATAAAAATTGAAATTACAACATCCAAACTTTTTACTTGAATATGATAAATAATAAAAATTCTGTTATCATCTTTACGAATATAATCAAAGAAAAGTTCAATTTCCTCATGCAGGCTATTTTTCCTATGTTCAAGAAAACCATTGGCTTAAAGATTCAAGATGGCAGAAACACAATTAGATCCTATGGATTACATGATAAAGTCTTGCTTTTGAGATGTTAATGCTGAAAATCATTGGAATGGAATCAAATTGGAGGATGATGGAATTCTTTCTGCATCTGATTGAAATAGAGATGAATCAGCCTATGGCTTCATTGTTCTTTTTTCTCTTCGCTCTATGTATATTTGTCTACATACACAAGGTTCAGAATCACTCAAGCTAGCAGTTACCAAACAGCCAATGTTTCCCTCTTCTGTATACCACACTCCATCTAAATCCTTACTCATTTTTTAATACCTAATAAACCCAAAATATTGCACATGGTTTACAAATAAGCTCTACAAGTTTAATCATATCCAATTCCAAATACATGAATTTTGAACCAAACTCCAGTAACTTGATTCATCATTGCAACAGAGCATAACAATGCAAAGCAAACGCATAGAAGAACAAATATTGTTAACTAGATAATGTTATAAGACCAATGTAATATTGTTAACCACATAATATTACAAGACTAACATTCTTCCATTTCTTTTTTCCAAGTTTCCCATTGTCTCCATGCCTACTATTACTAATAATAATGTCCACCTAAACTCTTAAGAGCAGCACCAGCTTTTCACAATTGGCATGTCACATGCCACCAGATTTAGACATTTTGTCATAGAACTATGTAATAAAAATTACAGAATATTTTACAATAATTAACAGACAATCAATTAATAAAACACTAGCATCTCTTAATTAGGTTAACCAAATTAATTGAATTACAAGCAGAAATTTTGTTTCTAATCTCTTAATCTCTTCTTTCAACTTTTCTAAAATATACAACACAAATATTGATATGAAAACTGATCCCACTAGTTGAATAGGTGTTAAACAAGCAATAGTAAATTTCAAGTTCTTAGTCAAATTAATTCAGTTCAGCAAATTCGGTTCACAAAATTTGATAACTCCAGTTAAATCAGTTCACCAAAATTTGATTATTTCCATTAATTCAGTTAAAAGAAATCTTTTTCCCTCATCAATAGCAAATATTATTTGGTAAATTTGGGTATTAACTGATTTAACCAAGAAAAAAATTTTAACTGAATTGAGCTAGGGCTTAATTGTTCATGCAATTACTTAAGAAAAATATCAACTAAAGATGCATCTGCAGAACTACATTATTAAGCAAAATATTCAAAAAATAAATTATACCATGGTGAAGTTAGAAGGGAAGGGACTGGGGTGAGTGATCACAAATTTTACCTTGCATATGTTTCCAACTTCAGCATGAACAATGCCAATGACATCAAAGCCAAATTTTTGCAAACATTTCCTGATCCTCTGTTAATGAAAGTGAACCATAAATAATAATAATAATAATAATAACAATAACAATAACAATAACAATAATAATGGCAGTAGTAATAATAATAAAATACCAAAATAAGACTTGAAAAAATCCAACTAAATTGAAAATATCTAACACAATAAAAAAGATTACCCTCCAAACTGCATCTCTTTTTGCAGTTCCAAGTAAGCATGGATGGTGAGAGCAGAATATAACTTGAGTGGATACACTTTGACTTGTACCAAGTGTTGTAGATGATATAACTGCCAATGCCTTCACCAAAACCTCAACAGACGGAAGGCTAGGACCTTGACCATCTAAAGAATTATCTGCATCACTACAGATGTACAGGTTTAAATTCCCACCTTAAGCTTTGAAAAAGGACAAAATACATATGCACATACATATACATACAAAGATTCATGCATGTGTGTTTGTGTGTGTGTGTGTGTGTGAGGTAAAGCTTCAACATTATGCAGTGTCCACTATTCCAGAAATGGAGCATAAGTGGAAAAAGGAAGTTTACATTTAACCAATAGAATAAAAAAATTTTCTTTGGCTGCTGCAACTGCCACACTAAAACAAACACACCTGTTTACCTTATTTCAAACTATTTAAAATAAAATTAAAAAAAAAAAGTAGTAATCCTGGCATTAATACCTTGACTTTAACATAGAAATTCTCTCTCCAACATGAGAAAGAAAATTTGTGAACTCAGAAAAAAGAACTTCTGAGAACTTTGGGACAGCTCTAACTATCTTCCTGGTAGCATCATAAGCCATTTTACGTACATCCCAGCTTGCATGGCATATTAAAAACAGCAGAAACTGCATAAAAACAATCATAATGTGTCAACATTACTAGCAAGCAGAAAAGATCAAGGTAGTGATGCACATCAGTTTACCTGTGACAACAATTCTACTGAGAAAGATTCTAACACTCTGCAGCATGAAAAGCAACACAACTGATTTTCATTATAGGCCGCAAAAAATTTTAAAAAATGAATAAAATGCAATGATATAAGCTTTTCATATGAACCTGTGTGAATGTTCAACAAGTAGCACCTCAAGAAGATCCACACACACTGTACAATCTTCAATTGACAATTTTAAGGCCTAAAGAGATATATATTAAAAAAGATTAAAGTCAATAAAATCTAAAACATCTATTCCTAAAACCAATGACTAAGCAATAATTACCAAGGAAATTGGTACGAGTGAGGGCTCATTCTGAGATATCAATGACAAAATCTTCTCCTTCACTACAGTCTCCTCTGTGAAAAGACAGGAACATAAAAAAGCTCAACCAACAATCACAATCAAAACTTCAAAACTGGGCATCTACAATCATATGAACCAAGAAGAGAAGTGACAGTCATTCCAATTTACATGAATCATTTCAGACTAAATCCCAGAAGAAACCTGCTTTAATATCAGAGGCTGCAATTTTTCCAACTATGAGCAATGCATATATGCCATCTAGACGTTGTGCAGCTTTTGTGAAACCTGTCTTTACAAGTTGAAGAAGAGGCCCAAGCAATGATGAGATCTGTTATGTTCAACAGTTAGATTGAGTGGTTAACATTAGCACACTAGAGGAGTATTAACTGAATGTACATAACAATATAATTAGATGGACTTAACCTGCAAAAGAGAATCAGGTCTTCTGCAGATAGCTTGTAAACAACGAAGATGGCCCCTTCTCAAAGCTTCCTTCTCCTTAAGGCCAGAAGAAATAAAAGATACTAAATCTGATTGAACTGCATTAGAAAAATGGGCTCCCCAAGAGGAAATAGCTGCAAGTATTGCTAGTTTTACATCTTCATTCCCTGCAAGCTCAGAGATATTAGAATTTTGGACAGAAGAAATGCAATGCCTACCGAATATAGAATTAAACTCTAGTGCTTGAATAGCTATTAGGTACCTTCATCCTTGTAACAAGATAATAGGAAGCCACATACAATACATGAGAGGTTGTTGAGATACTTCCCTTCAGGAGCATTAGACAATTCCTGTAAAGCATTGATCATGCCAATTCTTTGGTAAGGAAACTGTAACCTTCCTTCTGAGCCTGTTTAGAATCAACAATAATATGAAAATCCCTAAATCATCATGACACTAGCAAAAAACTTCATACATGACAAGAATAAAAAGCCTAACCTCCAATCACAGCTTTGATAGCATTAAACATTGATTCAAAAGCATCTGGATTACTAGACTTTTGGGTCAAGCAGTGTACTATAGTCAATGCCCCCAGCCTTCTACCATCTTCTGAATGACGAGCCTGCAGTAATACAACAGAAAGAATTTCGACTGCATACTTGCTCAAATCAAGATCAATGGCCTTTAGGAGAATTCCAACAGACTCCAATACAATTTCAGGGTTGCGTTTCAACATTTTTACAGCAGCTGGGAGTATAGTACTTTGGAAATCTTCATGTGACATGCGTGCAAATATCATACAAAAAGATTCACTGAGCCCTCTTGTTGGCTTTTCTTTGGCATTTAAAACTGCTTTGACATAGATGTCCTGAAATATTGGCTGTCCATATATATATATATATAAAAAAAGGTTAAACCTTAAAGAAAAATATTAAGCAAGCAAACACGGAGATGGAAGAACCTGAAGACTCTCTTCTGTAATATATCCAAAAAAAAAAAAAACTGAAATAGATGACTCTCACCTTGCACTGTTCAAACTTAAATGGTGTTTTAGATGAGAAATCCAATAGTAAACGTAGCATTTCAGGACTATCTTTGTAAGGGATATGTGCATCTTTTATTTCCTCTATGTAGATATTGTAGATGTCTGGTGTCTGTACAAATTAAAAAAAAAAAAATGAGTGCTGTGAAAATTATGATCCACAAGGATAATTCCCCCAAACACTACAAAAGGTTATTTGTGGAAAACCTGAGAAAATAAATGAAACATTGCTTTTATGCATGCCCTTCGCTCACAGAAAGATCTTTGCATAACAATATTAAGCAAAGATGCCTGAGCTGCAGCAACTCTGCATAGTGCATTTCTTGAAACTGCAGCAAAATTGCTCCTACTTAAAAGGAGGCACGACCACTTCAGTAGCCTGTAGCAGGCTACATGAGATTGAAACTTTGACTGCTTCTCCATCATCTGAACAAGAGCTGCAGCAAAACTTTTCATAAATGCAACCTCATGTAAAGCCTTCACAATCAAATCATCAACAGCTTTCCTCGATCCTCGATCATCATAAATGGCTAATGTTTTAAATATTATATCCACCAAAATTGATATGAATTCAGGAGCCATATCTGTAGAGTTCAAAATTAATCATCATCCAGAAGAAGAAAAAAACACTATATACAATCATATTTGAGGTCAAGGCAATGTTTGCTATGCAAATCCATGAAAAGTAAGCTCAATTTCATAAGATTTTACCTAAAACAGTAGCATTGAGTGCAAAGGCATCAATCATAAAAACATGAAGAAAAGATGTCTTACACATAAAAATGCATACAGAGTCATCATCTGGCATATCAAAGAGAAAAAAGATCTGACTTCTCCTACTGCTAAAAAAGGACAGGCTTTGACAATAAAACAGGTGACTTATGCAACATATTGCCATAAATTTCACAACTTTTCTTTATCTCTTTGCAACAATCAGTAAATCAGATATTCCTAAAAGAGAAAGGTGTTTTTCAGTATGGACTGAAATTTTTTTTGCAGTTCAAGCACTGAAATTACAAAAACACCATTTATAAATAAGCTTAGAGGACAATTTCATTAAGGGTATTTAGGTAATTTCATTCCCTGGACTGCACCAAATAAAGTGCAGTCTGTAATGAAAAACACTTTTTCCTTCATAAAATCTATTCATCTTTAAAAAAGAGGAAAAAAAAAAGTATTCCTCAAATCATAAACCCCTTAAGTTTCATATGGGAACTAAACGAAGATCAATCTATACAAGAAGCTTTTGAAGTATTGCTAAATAAAGACATAGTTGAATGTGCCTAACGTTTTTTTCGAGAGAATAATGTGCCTAAATTTTATATTTGACTTGAGGGAAATATTCTGTTTGGTATGCTTTTGGCAACCAATTTGAACAAAAACAATGGATGGGAAAAATAAGAACCCCAAACACAATACCTCAAGCATTAATCCCCATTCTATGCCAACCTTTTACACAAATTTTAAAGTTCTTAATTAGTAACAACATGATAGCTAAGCTATTTTCTTTTCCATACTTCAAGCTTTCAACGCTAAAAATATACTCTCAAATTATAACTTCACTATATATGACAAAAATAAGTGATTCTACGGTGCGGAGGAA